CCTGATGCAGGCAGCTGCCTTCCTCTTGTTTTTTTCTTCCCAGTGCCTGCCACCTTTATGGGTTTAATGTTTGCTGCAGGCTTAACAGGAGTCCTGCTGGAGCCAGGCTGGGATATCCTGCTGTTTGCAGATCAGTAAGAACTGATGTTGCTCTCTGAAGTAAACATGATCCTTCTCACAGTTTCCTTTTGTCCCCTCAACCCACCTCCTCATACATTTGTCACTTCCTTTCATTTGTAGTCACAGAGGGTAATATCTGAAAGGAGAACAGAGGTGTAAGTATACTACTACTCTCATTTTCTACCTATATATTTTTTCACAATACTTCACTAGTTTCAAAAAGGTAAAAACAAAAATCCCATTGGACAAGGTGTGAGCAGAATTGTTAATGTAGCATATAGGCTAAATTGGTGCCCTGATAAGTACAGTCTGAATTAAGCAGTCAGGCATTGTAAAGTATGCATTATATACTGCAATACTGCACATCCTCAGTACTGAGAACATGCATTCTGTATACTGTATGAAGAAAATCATCATTTACAAACAAATTCAGAGCACGGTGCCATCAGCAATGTCTCTTTTCTTTCTGTAGTAGAAATTATCAGCTTTTAAAGGATCAGAGTGCCAAAAAAGCTCCTTTATACCCTCCAGATCCATCATCTGTGCCTGTAGAGTCACTATTCATTTTACTGTCAGAAATAAGAAGCTTCTACTTTTAGACCCACAAAGCCTGTACAGCTGTGGAAGAATGGACAGTGTTTTCTTCTGCTTTGCACATACTGTGTCAAATGACCGATCACGTTACAGCTCAAGAATCTTTAATCCTGATGGAAGCATATGACAAAGAAAGAATGGATTTGGATTTTTCAGATTCTCTCATTCAGTGCTTACAATACTAATATTTAGTGGAATTGGCTGGGTACTGCTAAGCTGAGCATGTGAGTCATGCTGTCTTTCACATGTGGCTGAAGACCTTTAGTGAGTGTGGTTCATGGAGAAAATAAGTCTCGGTGACGGTCTTCTGACATAGATGTCATCTTTGCTTGCCATCTGCCTACTTCCAAGTTGCATTAGTTTGTTGAGGTAGGTGGGAAGCCATATGCAGACTGCGTGCATCTACAGCACCTGTGGTCCCCATGGAACTGCATCACTACAGAGTCCCTCAGCTAAGGGACGTCCTTAGAGCAGAGTCTTCATCCTGTGTGGTCCTGAGCAGGGCAGATATAAAATGTTTAACTTTTCTTCTGAACCTCACAATTCTTTCTGAAGCTCTGTTCTACCTCTGGGAGTGGGCAGCACTCACTCCAACCCATCCAAAGCACACTATTTTACAAAATAGCTGGGTAGAGTGGCAGAGGGACCCAGGGAGAGGCACAGACTCCAGTGGGCTCAGTGTGTGCTGGGTGTGGAAGCTACTGAAAAGCAGTGTTTAGGAAGCTTTCTGCTAACAACCAACTGTGAATATTCATGATAAGAAATGCAACTCTTGCATTATCCAAAGCCATCGATGTTAAGTATTGACTCTGACATTGCGCCTTAGCACTGTGTAATCTTTAATGTACTTATCCTGTGAGATCAGAGAATTAGGATTATGTCGTTCATAAAGGGAAGAAATACATGTGAACTTGATTGAGCTAATGCCAGTTATAATATAAATTAATCTTTTCTCCTTTTTCATTATACTGTCAGTAAACAAAAAACTAAAGCAGTTTCTCAGCGCTAGGCTTCTCCCAGCAGGGCAGACACCCCTGAATCCATGCGGTCTCAGCTGGGACTCCCTGTGCATGTGAGGGGATTTTAGATGCTTAAGACCAATTGTGTATCTCTCAGAATTGAGCCCGAGTTGTCCTTTATCTTTTTGTAACTTTTTTACAGAAGCCTTAATGTATCCTTAGATAAGAGTCTGGAGACTGAGAATCAGTTCCAAGCCCTGATAACATTTTAAATTGTTGACCTGGTTACTCATTTCTGAAACGGTGAGGGTTTTTTTACATTCATAAAGATAAATACTTCAAATATGTTTGGGTATTCCACTGAAGGGCACAGTGTGTATACCTGTAATACAGACCAGTCTGCTGCTATGTGGTCAAGGGCCAGTTGTTAAGCGGCAGTACTCTGTAGGATTCAGCCTTGGCTAATTTCTACTAGGGCCAAATTCTTTGCCACAGAAACTGTGACTTGCATTTATGCCATTGGTGGAACTAATTTGGTCAAGCTTTGGAACAGGCTGCCTAGGGAAGTGGTGGGGTCATCATCACTGGAGGTGTTCCAAAAATGTGTGGATGTGGCACTGCAGGACATGGTTTAGTGGGCATGGTGGTGTTGGGTTGACGGTTGGACTTAATGATCTTAAATGTCTTTTCCAACCTTAATGATTGTATGATTCTAATTTGGCCCGCATCATTTTGTTTTCATTGTAGAGCTCTAAATGATTTAACCAAAAGGTTGAACGACCATTACAGTGGACATTTAGACAAGCAGAATATGTTACATACAGAGGAGAAGTCACATTCCTACAATTCTTCAGGGAGTCTGGCAAGTAACTAGATGGCTTTGGTCTCCAGCACTGTAAATCACCTGCTGTTTGGCTGAATTCAGTTAAAATTCATGCAAAAAAAATAAACTGGGAGAGTATGGGGAGGTGTGAGTGTCTAGAAAGACCAGGGCAAGCAGAGGTTGGCCAGGGCCACCAGTCACACTCAAGTCAACAGAGCAGTTTCCCCTAGGGATTGTGTAGCAGTGAAGTAGGCAACATGAAGTAGTCTGGCAAGTAAGATCAGGATCTGCTTCAAGAGGAAAACAGTAAGAGAGGTAAGAAACTGTGTGACTACTGAGAGAAGTGCTTGCAGAGCCAGCAAAGACACCAGTTAATTCCTGGACGTTTTCCATTACTGTGCTACAGAACTCAATGCCAAAGGATTTTGCAAAAAGTGGAGTGGTCTGAATTAAAAGGCAGTTGAATAATGTGATAGCTGTGTGTTAAAACTCATATGTGTTTCTGTGTAAAGTAAGGGAATATGCATCTTATAAGAGTGTGAGTACTGATCTTCTGCTGGGTTCAGGGAAGAGCTCTGAGGACGTCCAAGTTGAATGAGGCCACTTTATTCTTCAAATTAATAGTTTTAATTAAAATCTGTATTTTTGTCTGAGTGAAGCTAGTCTGCATAGGTATTTAAAACCCTTGTAGGTCTTTGCAGAGCTGTAAGAATGAGTACTTCAGGTTAATGTTATATGTTGACACATTTAGAACAATGCTACACAGCAGATGTCATCCCAACATGTGACGGCAACATTACAAAGCAGAATGAATGAAGCGGAAGCAGCTCTGGAACACCCTGCTGTAACGTTCTCATTAGCTCCTAATCTGTAAGGCAGGAGAATAGCCCGGCTACACTGAGTACAATAGGGATAGTTGGCCTAATGTCTTTGGTGGGTTAGCATTCATAAAAAACCTACTGAATTCAGTTCTTTTTCTGAAGAACAAGGAAAAGGAGCTGCAGAAAATCATGGCCAGAAACAGGCACCCAGACACTGGGATGCTCCCGTCTCTTTGCTCAAGTTAAGGAAAACTCTGAATTTTAGCAACAATATTGTAATGGCTTTCAACACAGTAATGCTCCTCATATTGCAACTATGCATTCTATGTCACCTATGTTCCTCACTGATCTTTCTTCTATAGAAAACAGTTTCATTAAAGTTGTTTTTTCTTTTACTTGAAGACTTCAGAATTTAGCTGTGGGATTCTTAAATATTCTGTTCTCGTTCCCTGAGGCCTATTGCTGTGGAGTCTGCACCCCACTATGCAATTTCATAATGCATGTTTGTGACAGGCATATCAAACCATCCAGTTAGTTTAGAATTGAGGTGAGAGAGTGCTTTAAATGTAAATTTTACTATAAACAGCAGAATAAAATCTTGCAAGCACTTCCTAGCTCTGCCAGGAAGCAAAGCTATATTTAACTCATTTTAAAATTCATCAAATACATTCTGGGCTGATTCAGATCTTTGGTGTGTCTTTGAAGATAACATGTAGTGGAAGTGTCATACAGTCAGTTGTGGGATTGGGCACATTCTGAGATTCTTGTCAGTGAAGACATGCAGTTAGGACTGGATTGTAGAAAGAAAAGTACATATAGATCTGACGACTTAGTATTGATACTTTATTTGAAGATTTGAGCAGTATCTGCTGCATTCAGTTCAAGAGCTTTTTAAGAAGTGCTGTATATAAAGAGATTAGTGCCATACCAATGGCAAAATTCACATGCACTCATGAATTTTAAAAACAATTTTCTTGCAGTGCTTGGGAGAGACAGTATTTTAGAGAAACTAATGCGAAGCATTGCTATAATAATAATTTGGAGAAGTTTCGAAATGCATAGAAAAGATCCCTGGGTGTTAAGAATAAGCCATAAGAATTTAGCTAGAGATTCTGTGTACAAAATGGAAAGTCCCAGGTATATCTTTCTCTTCCTTTATTTTTCTTATCTCGGATTGCACCTCCCTGCAGCATTGTATTTCTGTAAACTCAACTGCTGTTATTGACAGGGTTAAATATAGACTGGAATAAACCTGTCAAATTTCATGCTTCATTTTTTGTAGGTGTCATTAGATAAGATCAATGATTCCAAAATATTGCTTAGGCTGTTTTTGTATCTGTAACCACTATATATATGCTGCTGTCTTGTCTCTACTAATCTTTTTTGCAAGTACAAATAGGAGACTCTCAATTTTAGAAACCATGTGAACAATCTGAATCGATCAGCAGGATGTTTGCTATTGCCTATATTCAGATGTGACCTGACTTTGAAGTTCAAGTTTATGATTTTTAATAGCTAGGTAATTCCTACCATTGCCTAAAATCCTTAATTAAAAGAAATAATTAGATATACACTAACCAACAAACTCTGAGAAGGAAATTGAAACAGTGTCGTGCTTCTAATATGGTATTATGCATCTTGATTGTGGTTTTCTAATGTTCATTTGCCTTTGATTTGTTCTAGTACATGACTGCTGCTGCACCTATGCAAGGGACCTACATTCCCCAGTACACTCCTGTGCCTCCAACAGCTGTCCCTATTGAAGTAAGTTTATCTCCATCCATGAAAGTAGAGTGAAGGGGTAGCAGAACTCTTACTTATTTACGCCTCCTTGCACCTGTTGTTTGAAAGGGGCCTAAAGTTACTTTATGGAATGATGGCTGGAAGCTTCCAGCTTTTAAAATTAGGACTGCACATTTCTTTCTCTTTTTCTTTTCTTTCTTTCTTTTTCCTTCCTTTTTCTCCCCACCCCCCTTTTTAAAAAATTATTTGCAGGGGCTCTTGTTTTGCATTTTTTTTTTTTTTGTACAGCAGGACATGGAATAAAACATCAGTGATTATGACTATTTTTTCCCCATGTACTTGGGAGGGAAATGGGAAGAGACAGGAAAACAAACCCAGCAGGCAGACCACGAACCCAAAAGAGATTCCAAGAAGAGAAGATTGCAAGAGGGTTTGATGCGGTCCTTAGCAAGTATAGGTAATTGCTGAAAAATTTAGCCACCAGAAAAAGTGATTGAGCAATGGAAACCTTCCTCTTGTATATACAGACGTGGAGGATGCTGCACTGACTGAGTGCTTTTCATCCTTGAGGAAGGATTCGCTCCCTCCCTCCTTGGGGCTGAGTCATGCTGATGACAGTCTAATGAGTAAGTATTTACTCAACCCTGTAGACCACAAGCTGCCGGGAGAGCGTCAGCTTGTCCTCCACTTCTGTGAAGCTTCATAAGGGCCACTGAGCACAGCGAGAGGAGGGAGCCCTGGCATCCTCTTCCCTGTGTGCTTCTCTTTGATGCTACCCTCTTTTATTAATAATTTCTCCCCTACTCTGGGGTAATGCGAGGAGTGCCAGGGTCTCAGTATTTCTGTCTTCAGCTGTGTGGACTTTGGAGTTTGTGCTATTACTACTCTGTGCTTTGAAGATGCTGAGTTAGTTGTACTGTTGGCATGGCTCCACCAGCAGTCAGGTAGACTGCTCCTGCTTTCTCCCAGTTCTTTGCAATTGCTGAGATTCCCAGATGAGATCCCACAAGAAAGGCTTCTACTGTCTGTCATACTGAGCTGGTCATGTTTTAGTCTTTTTTGCCTCAAGCTAATTTTGCCCTAAATCTTGTCTGTTTACAAACAGGCTATGGGTGCCTCTTTTCAGCTGCCATTCTTAGGTATTAAACTGGGCAGATACAAATCCAAATTAAAAGGAGAAGGTGGCATGGAGAGTGGCTCATATAGCAGTACTGGCTGCATACTGTGCTGACCAGTGCAAATGAGAAATGAAGTTAATTCTTCCACAGCCCTCCTCCCTATCACTCACTGGTGTATTCATGCCTGCTAAAATAATGATGTTATAATTATCTACTGTAACAATCAAAATATTACCTGAATATATAGCCTATCTTGCTCTGATCCAGTGATGATGATTACTGTTAATGTTTATTTGTATTCATGTAGCGTCATGAACCAGGACCCTACTGTGCTGGATGCTCCACAAGCAGAGACCAAAAAATTCAGTCTCTGCCCCAGAGAGCTTACAATCTCAAGATGAGATGGACAAAAGGAGAAGGATAAAGACAAGGAAGTAGACAGAAAAAGATAATACTGACAGTCTGCTAAGCAACAGATATGAAGAATTTCTGAAAAAGGAAACTGATATTTTTAACAGATAATTTAAAATAAACTACCTGTTGTTTACACAGGACTCAAATAAAAACTAAGCAAGTGCTTTGTGCTCCCTCTTCTGGCTCCGTTGCGTGCAATACAGTAATAAAGCATGTTCCCTGAAGAAAGACACTAGTGTTATTCATGTGGCCAACACATCAAGCATGAGAGAAAAGGAAAGACAATATAGCTTACTTTGAAAGCGTACAAAAATACTTAAAAATAATATTATTCAGACTGTCTAAATAGTGTAAGAAATAGTGCATAATGTGAAATTCATATGTATCTTCTTTTATGTGTTTACTTATCTGTTTTTTTGCAAATGTATAAACAAAACCTTCTTTGGAGCCTTGACTTAACAGATAAAAGTCTTTCGTGTGAAGTAAATTTATATTTTTGAAGGGAACATGCATAAAAGCAGTGTGTAGAGGCATGCAGTATTTTTCTAAGGTGGCTAAAATTCCATTGGATATGTAGTAAAGAGAGCGGTGGGCCTATATCCCGCCTTTATTGCATTGCAAATCAAACAAAATAAGTGTGAGCTCACTGTGAAGTTGGGGGAGGTAAATGAAAATCCAAACAGCCATACGTATGTTGTAAAAAAGACAAGAGGTAAAACCCAGACGCCACTTCAAAGTCAGAAGTTTTGCCTCTGGTTTTGAATGGGCAGGGAACTGCCCTCAAAAGTGGACATATTTTCCACCGCATCCTGTGAGAGCAAAGTACTACAGAGGCTGGTATGCTAAGGAAGTTCTTGTGGCTGGATTATCTTTCTAAAACTGACGGAGTTTGTTGTGTTAGCATGTGGTTCTGCTATCTCAAACGCTCTCAACCTCTAGAGAAATACAGGAATGGTGAGCTGGTGCTGAGCTCTTTTATGTAATTCCCTGCAGTGAGTAAAATTAGTATTTCATGTTCTCATTTGATTCCCTAGGGTGTCGTTGCTGATACTTCTCCACAGACAGTAGCATCTTCATCACAGGAAGCCAGTGGTCAACAGCAACAGATGACAGTGGAAACATCCAGTGAACATGCGCCTGCATATTCTTACCAACAGTCTAAGTAAGTAGGCATACACTTTGTAACCAGAAGGTTTTGTTTCTTGATTGTAGCAAGCCAAATTCTGCTCCCCATTTCAGCAATATAAATTCTGAGTAGCTTTGTTAAGTTCAAATGAATTCTGGATATATAGCAGCGTAATAAGAAAAAGGTTTTGGGTGATGTCCTCACCTTGGCAAAATGTCCTTGAGTTCCTGCCTGCAATGATATGCTGTCTTAACTGTCTGCTGCTTTTCTGGACTCAGAAGGATCTCAACAACTGTGTTAATCATCACGCTGGTCTAAAGCAGCATCCAGCATCAGAGGTTAAAAAGAGGGCTTAAATTTTGCAGTGGTGAAAATATTGGCATGGTACAAATGTAAAGGTTTCTTTCTGAAAATGTAGCTATTGAAGCAGTATAAATTGCCCCAAGTTGGTATTTGTGATTGTGCAAAACTGGTGCCATGCAGACACTGAGTGGGCAGGAACTGGTAGTGGATGAAGAAGGGATAACAAAGGGATGGGGAGAAGCACTGCTTTGTCTTTCTCCTGTCCTCTGCTGCCTTTGTTTGCTTCCCATGGAATACCTTGGAAAATTCAAAATTTATACACTGGCAGATGGATCTAGAACTCCTAAAGAGTGCCTTCATCTTCAGAATAATCCTCAAACACTCCTCTTTGCCACAATAAAACTGGTCCTCATGAAGGGAAGGTTACTTAGCGACGGGGTACTCACCTGGACCGATCAATGTTGGACAGATTCTAGGAAGGAGCCCAAACCCAGTCCTTTATTAATGCACGTATATTGAACATTAGCATCATTTTTTATCTTGGGGAAGGAAGTAGACAAGCAGTCAGATGAGAAATATGTTAGATATGACAGTCAATGCATCATGATATAGTACTTATAAAGGCATAACATATGAGCTGGTATAGGAAAGATTAGGATTATACCAATCTGTCAATTGCTTTACTTCATTTATGACCTCTGGAAGTGGAATATGCATTTATTTGTCTAACATACGAGTAACAAATGGTTTCAGATCACACAATGTCCCTTTTTGACTACCATAAAACATAAGACCTCACTATTTATGTCACACCCATATTTGTCTATATGTACATATTACAAAAGCAATTGACCACAAGCTTTTTGTTGATGCACCCAGTTGGAGACACAGTCTATGCATGTGTATCCCTTCTAGCCATCAGTTTCTCTAGTACCTGTAAATAAAATGATGTCAAAATACTTAGAGATTATAATGGGCAAAGAGAGAAATATATGTGACCATACCGTCCTGTTGGCTTGTTTTGGTGACTGTGTTCTGTAGGAGTTTGGATCTGACCATTCCCATGTTCCAGTTCCCTTTCGCTTAAGTCTCAGAGCAGAGGGACTTAGGTTCAGAAGCCCTCATAAGGTGGTTGTGGGCAGCAGATTCTGGCATTTTTTCCACATAGGAGGAAACTACACTGCAATTCTTTATTGAAATGGGTGCTGTGTTTCCTGCCAGTGTGGTGAATTCCCACCTTCTCTGAGAATGAGATGCTTCATCTTTCCTTGTCAGCTACTACCTTTTTTGCAATGATGGATACACTTGTAATGGCAATAGCATTTATATTGAAAGGAATTTCTTTTTTAATCACACAAGCAGATCCACTACAGATTTTTTATTATGATTATTCCAGTATTTTTTTCTGAAATGTGTCCTCTATTTATATCTGCCAGTTGCGGGCAGAAATGCAATGTGTGGGAAACTGTAGAAACAAACCAAAATATACACAATCTCTGTGTTAAAAAAACAGCTTCTGATGGAATATTTCAGTAATCCTTAATATAAAAAACAAGTTAATTTATTTTGTAATTAAAATATAATTTTATTAATCTGGTCCTCAAAGGACACATTTATTAATAGCAAGCATCATGCCCAATATACAACAGCTGTTTTCAATGCAAGATGAGAGGAAGTAATTAACATGACTGGACAATGATTTTGTCAGATATAGGCAAAGGAAAATGCGACACTATAAGATTATTTCATAGGAGCTGATCAGTCAGGAGAAAAGTTATAACAGTGTATTTCATTATATTTATTTTCTTTGCAACAATCATGAAATTGCAGGCAACGAAGGAGAGGCAATGTACTCAGAATGAACTGGGTGGTATAAGGACTCTGTACTCTCTTTGTAAGTAAAAATAAACCATGAGACTTAAAATTTAAGTTCCACTTTTTTAATCAGCATACACATTCTTTCATTTAATATGCTGGCTGCTGTACTTGAGGATCCCACCCATAGATGTTCAGAAATGATAACTTGATGTCAAAAACCTGGCTACCTATTGTGTAGCAATAGAGGAGAAACAGCATTCATTTCTGAGCAGAGGACTCTATGAGGAAATCACCTTAATTATTTTGGACCCATACTCCCTTTTTTCCTTGTAAATCTTTAATTTTTCACATAAAAGTGTGAAATCTATGAAGCAGAGATAAATGGAGATAGTTGCCCCTGAAAAGCGTACTCTCTCACCTCTAAGCAAAACTCTGCTGGGCAACGTTCTCTGATTTTAATTGTGGAAAGAATTACATTTTTGAAGCCTTTTGTAGGCAAAGTCAATGCAAGGTTAGATTGGAGAGCGTGTGCTGTGACCCTTCGGTGGAACTGGCCTTTCATGCACGTGGCCCTCGGCCCAGAGGGGCAGTAAAACCTCAGGAAGTGAGCATCCAACTTGAGTACTCCTACCAGAATCTATGCATGGAAAACCCTAAGAAAATAATTGATTCTTGCCTGCGACATAAATTTATTGTTACATCCAAAATATTAATTTTCTGGCTTCACGCAATGAAAAAGTCCTTTGGTGAATTTAATATTTAAAATTGAAGTTAGTTTTATGTTCACCGTCCCAGAGAAATAGTTCTGTGGCAAATGTTGTCATCAACATTCTTCACAATTTAACTCCTAATATTAACATGAATTAAAAATAATCAAGTCAAATGCATTAATGCTTGCAAAAGAAAAGGTGCTGGTTTTCTTGTGTTGAACTTGGGTTGGAAAAGGATTTTTTCCATGCAAGTTTTGAGGACTGTAGAATAAGCAATAGCTAACGCTTACTGATAACCCTAGATATGAAACAGCGTTTATACGTAGGTTCTACATCTCCCCAAAGATCTCATATAGACTTGCTAAGATAAGTTCGATGTGACGTACCTTCAAATGACATGAAACCTCAAAAACACAAAATGAGAGATACGTTCTGTAAGAAACAGGTTGATAGTTTAGCTTATTCTCTGTGCTAAATTTAGAAAGATTCGACAATATATGATCAAAAAATATATTTTTCTAATTAATATTATCTTGAATGTTTCTACTAAGTTAGCCGTAATGGGCTCATTAAGCAGACTGCTCCACAGTCTAACTGTTCTTGCCATGAGTGTTCTTTTTAGCAAACTGAATGTATCCTTTTATTGTGATTTTATCCTTCATTTTATTATTAGTATCCAAAATAAATCGTACCACTTATTATTATGGAAATATTCGCTCTTTTATTGTATTACTCCTGAAATATTTATACAGTGTTAAGCCACGTATTCATCTCATTTCAGTGTAGTTAGACTGCCCATTAAGCACAGCATTAATAAATTCATCTGCTTAGGATATGCTAAGGTCCCCAAAGCAGGAGTTCCCTATTTCTGCCTGACTATTTTCAGCTTACTGGCTGTATCCTATTTAAACAGCTACAAAGTTAGTTTACCTTGGATACCTTTAAAGGGAATTGGGTGGAAAGAAAGGAGAGGAGCCTATTTCAAAGTTGTTTTGACTTAATGACCACTTTAATTCAATTGTTTTTACAGACAATAAACAGGACTGAAGAATGTCGGTCTGAAATCTTTGCCTTGAATGGAGAAACTTCACTGAACAAGAAGTTGGCTTCCAGTTTGCACAGGCGTCAAATGAATGCTTTTTTTTTCTACCTTTCCCAACGAAAACAAAACAGTGTTTTTATGTGCTGTGCAAATGGTTCCGTCATGTAGTCTGACAATTTTATTTTTGCTATAATTTTTTTTTTTAACTAAAGGAAAAACCCAGAGGAAAAATGCTGGGTTGACATTTCATCTGGACGAACATTTGAATTCAGAATTTACCTGGAGGTGTAGCTAGATTTTTTTTTTTTAACAGAAAAACTGATGATGTCAAGAGGGAGCAAGTTGTGATGAAAACCAATTGTCTTCCTCAAAAATTAAGCTACTCTTTTTCTCTCATTTTATTTTTCTTCTTGTTTTAAATCTAGAGTGTTTTTTGGTTTTTTGGTTTTTGTTTTTTTAAAGAAATGTTTAGGTAAGGTTTATCTTGAATCTTAATTGCCTTAATTTTAAGGACGTCAAAGGCTCTCAAGGCAAGCTGTCAACGTCTTGTTAGAAAACTCGAGAATGAATTGAAACTGCTCACACCGGTGCTGGTGCAGAAGTTTAATAGACTGAGTTTTTGGGGTGAACAAAAAATAAACTGTACAGTTTAAAAGAAAATGATTTTCTTCTTTTGAAGAAAAGTTGATGATAAAGGAACTGTGGCAACTGAAAGGATTGGAAAAATGCTGGGACTTTTATGAACTTTGTCTTAAGTGTTGACAGAAAAAAATTCTAGAAGGCTAAAGCATTTTACAGTAAAGTTATTGAACTGAGAAAAAAACTTGCTGCATTACAGAGAATGCAGGGTTTTTTTCTTGCAGAATGCAGATTTTTTTATTTACAAAGCGTGATCGCTAGCAAAAGCATTAGTGCTTTTTATCTGCAGTCTTTTTTATGAGCTTTAAGAAGTTTTTAGTCTGCTTTGCTTGTCACATTGCAAAAACCTAGCTTAAGAGCATTGAAAAAAAACTTAAGTAGATAGGAGCTTATGGTCAAAAAAGTGCAAAAAAAGCAATAGATAGAAGAAATTGTTGACAATTTCTGTAGTCTTTCCTAGTTGTGAACAAATGCAGCCTATGGATGGCCTATTTTATACCAAAGATGAAGTGACACCCTAACGCAGTC